ATCATGACACCTTCACCTCTTTGCTTTACAGTCAGCAGGTGTTGGTTCTGCTACGCTGCGTTATGACCAAACATCTGGACTGTGTTTTCTGCTCCACGGACTTTGTTTAGGCCGTCTGTAAACAGAAACAGGATTCAGATTCAGAAGCAGCAGGACTTTGGATGCAGCCAGATGTTTTTATGGAGCCGTGTGTCTCCTGGTGCTGATCCCATGTGTTTCATCTTTCCCAGTAAACCCAACTGGTTGAAGAAAACTGATATTTTATTTGCCTAATTTCTGGTAAATAAAATGATTTTCTGTAAAATCCCTGTATTAGCAGAATAAGACCACAAACTACAAGTTTTATTTCAGAAGTCTAATTTTCTAATTGCAGCAGGTCCATTACTGCTTATTCTCTACTTTTATGAACTGAGATAAGTGCTAAACGTTCCCCAGTGCTCCTCTACTGCAGGAGAAACCAAAATATGGGTCGCAGATTTCTGAAAGTAGGTTGTCCAATTATTGGTGAAAAACTATTCAGTGCTTCTGGCGAGCGCCTCTGCTGCGGCGCGAACTCATCTAAATTAAACAGCCTCAAACATGAAGGCGCTTCCCCAGATAAATAACTTTAACAATCTGCTATTGGTTTTAAAAACTTGGCTTTGCACTAAACCTCTTAGAGATGCTAACTTTACCTTCTCGCTGCCTTTCTAGTGAATTTCACTGCAGAAATCCCATAAATCATTTCACTCAGTAGATTCTGAATCTCATTTTCTTCTCTTTAATCTTTCTAAACATTTAAGTAATTAAATAATTACACAACATTCAAGCTTGGAGCAAATCCAATCAGCCTGGTTGGGAATAGCTGCTTTCCAAGCACAAAGTGAGGAGGATTAATGCTTCCTCATGGCTCGCCCCGTTACTGCTGGCCTCATGGCTAATGTGGCGAACCCAGCAGCTGGCACAGCGCCGCGCCACCGGATCAGAACCAGAACCTCCAGAACCTCCAGAACCTCCAGACCGGCGGAAAACATCCGCCGGTCACTTTGAGGCAGGAAACGCAGCGTTTCTATTTTATATATTAATATCTACTTCACAAAACAGTTCAGGAGATTTTATCTCTTTTCTTTAGATGGTTATGATATTATTTATGTCAAACATGCATAATTATGAAAATAAAAATCAGTACTTTTTACTGTGACTGTTTTGTTCATGTCCAACCAACTCAAACATCTTTCTAAACAGATTAAAAACAAAGTTTCTCAAAAGTTAAAGCTGTGAAATGTCGTTGGACTCAAAGCTGCTCTGGCAAAGCATGAATGAATTATGATTCATATGAATTCAGAAAAAGCAGCAAAAAACTTAATGTTTTAAATGAAGGGAAGGGCAACTAAATGTAGGATGGACTGGTTACTGCAGAGCAGATACCAGAGTTAAACCTCTGAAACATATTGGCTGCTGTTTCAGCTGCAGGTGTTTCAGCTGCAGGTGTTTCAGCTGCAGGTGTTTCAGCTGCAGGTGTTTCAGCTGCAGCCTCCATCAGCGCCATTTCTGAAGCTTACAGCTAACTCAGCTCTGCTCTCATATTTCCTCTGACTCTCACACCTTTATTGCGTCTACATTTCCTAACTGCTGCACATTCATCTTCTGCTGGAAATAATTCTGAAAACCATACACCAAAATATATTTCCTGTCTGCTTGTATATTGTCATGTTTTATCAAAGTTTAACGAAGCACATGAATCTTTTTGTTCTCTCATTCCTCTCCCCTGTTCGGCTCTGAGTCTCCATCTAAAACCTGACTAGCAGTGAAAATACTGCTGATGTGCTGAGTTTTCTGTATGTTTATTGTACTATAAAATCAGAACTGGAACATTGTAACAGAATAAATGGGTCGGATATTTCATGCTCTGAGCTGAGCTGCGTTGTTCCCGGCACTGCAGCATCAACTACATCCTGCTAGTTAAAGGAAGGGAATGTCGGCCCTTTTCTTCAAGCTTGGTGCCATTCCCCCTGTGGAGCAGCATTTTTTAAAAATGGTCACACGTTTTGCCTGATGTGTAACTTTCTTTTCCTGACTTAGCAAATGGCAGCCGGCCCCTGAGGCTTGATGAATCTGCTGGAGCAGAAAACAGTCGCTGGAGGAAGAGTTTAGGAAAACAGAGCCGACGACAATCAGAGCAGAGAGAAAGAGGAAGGATCATTTCTGTCTGGATGTATCTGATTGTGAACCAGGGAAACATTTGATCCTTTTCCTTAATATTGTGTTTCTGCTCCTCGCTGCTTGGCTTGCGGCTGCAGTAATGCTGAAAGGCCATGAAGCTGATCCATTATTCATACGAAGCCTTTAACATCCCATCTGATTAACCCGTTTGCCACCTGAATGTACAGAAACGTCTGCCGCAGCTGATGATGAATAAAAGCCTGTAAAGCTGGAAATGAGCTTTAAGGTCCTAAACCTGAATCTCTGACTGGAACAATTTGAACTGATTGCCTGTTTATTTGTGTGATAAAGATTGACATGTTCTGGTCTGTTAACTGGATCTCTGTGTCGATCGGCTCTTTTTAAATGGAAGCTTAATGAGGCAAAGTTCTCTGTTTTACTTTTGTATTGACCTGCTTGCTGTTCTGAGTGACCGACTGGGCAGCCGGCCCGGTTCTGGCCAGAAACACAATCCTTCAGCAGGAAGACGAGTGTTAAAACAGCCGCGCTCTCCCAAGTGTCTGAGTCGAGCCCAGCGTTCAGTGGCCGACCTCTGACCTGCTGCTCCGGTTTCCCATCAGGCTTCACTGCAAAGCCAACAGTCACAACCAACACAGCTGGTTTCAGATTCATAGTTATCAGGACATGACGGGTTCTCAGAAGGCTTTGAGCAAATGTATGTGATTCAGTGTGAAACATATCGAACTCCTCCCACTCTCCAAAGAACCAAAGAATAGAGAATGTCAATGTGTGGCCGATCAATAAACTCTCACTGAACCTGAAAAATAAGAGTCTTGTTGGCAACAACAGGCTCAGATTTCCCCCATCTGTTCGTCTCCTTCCCTCCATGTTCCTGCATTTTACCTCACTGCTTATATTCCAATTTACTGTTTTTCTCTCTGCTGCAGCTTCCTGCTCTCTGTTTGTGGAGTGATCAATAAGATGCTTCTTTGTGCTGACACAGGTGTGGAATGGCAATCAACCTGCTATCTAAAGACAAGAGAAATGCAAAATACACACAAATGACTCCATATTGAGGAAAAGGATGAGAAAGCTGCAGAGAGACGGAGCAGTCAGGGATTAATGCAGAGAGGGAAATGTTTCTCTGCACCACTGTGCAGCAGCTGGGAGATATTATAGAAATATTAGAAATATTATAGAAATGATAGAAATATACTAATACTTCAAAACTGAGGAAGAGGAGGAAGAAGAGGAAGAGGAGGAACAGGAGCTGATGAATTATGAAGACAGATTAAAAATAACATGCATGGCAGATAATAGCTGTGTATTTGTCTCTGAATGTTTTCTGCTTGTTAACTGGATGCTGCTCAGGAACTGCTTTGGATCCCTCGTTACGGCGACCCGGACGGATCCGATGTGCACTGATAAGTTGCTTCAGCCTTGAGATGGGAAGCAGATCATTTGTTTCCCTGCAGAGGCTCTTTATTAATCTCCACGTTTCACCTGAGCAAATATTGAGCTCCTGCAGCAGCGACCGCTGGCTGCTGCAGCGACCGCTGGCTGCTGCAGCGACCGCTGGCTGCTGCAGCGACCGCTGGCTGCTGCAGCGACCGCTGGCTGCTGCAGCGACCGCTGCCTGTCCCTGCAGGTGGATTTGGTCTGAGCGTGTGGAGCGTCAAGGGCGTCAGACCCAAGTTAAAATCAGAATTTCATAATAGTGATAAACAATAAGTCAATTAATTGCGTGACAAATGAGAATGATCAACCTCATTTTAATTGATGGATTTTATGGTTTTTTTCTTCCTATTAATGATTCTGGATGCAAAAGGCTGAACTCCACTGACCCTTAGTGAACTGTTGCATCTGCTCATCTTTTCTGTCCAAATCTATGATTGAAAGGTAATTTATAATCTGTACGCTTTTGGTTGAATATAGTTTTTATGATGTGGATTTTTTGTGGATTTAAATCCATTTAATTTTTGTTTTTGTTTTATTTTCCTTTATTTTCTGCTAAATGTTCTTTTGAAAATAAAGTGTATTTATTTTTGGCAGTATTTGCTCACATTATAATGTCATTACCATCACATCAGTTTAAAATGGTCTTCAAATAGTTTTATCATTTATCACAATAATTTTTGAGACATTTTGAGTGAAATTTGTCATCATGTCTCATCAAGTCACTTCTCAGCTGGATGCAGACTTTGCATGTTCTTCCTTACTGCTTGTTTTTAAAATGTTATATTTCTCATCTAAATATTTTTCTTTTTCATTTTTGGGCTTTTTATTTATTTAGTGCTCATGTCTTTTAACTTCCACTTAGTGCTGCCCTGTAGCAATAACATCATTTTGATGTACTTTGCTCTGCCATGCATGCAAAACCTCTGGATATCATCAAACACAATAATTTATAACAAAAACATCCAGAGATGTGAGAAAACTCCGTATTAGAGTTCAGTCCTGTTCATAACAGTCTGACTGATAATATTTCCAGATTCTGGCTTTGAGTTTAGTTCCCATCATCGTCGTCTTTAAAGTTTTACATTAAAGTTTTAATAATTTTAAATTTCAATACGCTGTGCCGACTCAGCAGGTTGTTTTGAAGCACTCTGATTGGTTGACAGGGTTTAGCTCTACACTGCCCCCTGTGGGTTTTTGCTCATTTCTGCAGTTGTCTGTGTTCACGGGATGAAAACTTTTGGAAAAGAAAAATATTTTGTAATTGCCTTGGCAGATATTTGTTTTTATAAATAGCAGGTTCTCATGTTTTTTAGGTCATTTGTTTCAGTGGATCGTTCCTCCACTAAGCCTGATTTTCTCTCTGAGCTTCAGGACCTTTAAAAGCCAACTTTCTTCATGTTTTCTAGTGATGACATTAAAGTTACATCCAGTGTAGCCTGAGAGCCTCAGACTGGTTTGGTTTCCAGTGACTAAAGTCTCGTCTCACCTGTAAACCAGCGAGTCATCCTGGCTGCCGTTGTACTGGATCTGGAACATCCTGATGCCGGGAATGTTCCTCTGGAAGTTGAACTTGATGAGCGCGGTGGACGACCTGGCCTCGGCCGTCACCACCCGCTTGTCCACGCCGCCCTTCACGTCGCCCGTCACGTTGCTGCCGTTGGCGCCGCCTCGGGTCGACGTGGAAATGTCTGACGAACCCGGATCGGGTTCTTGGATGTTGTTGGTGTTGTTGGAGATGTGAGGCAGTTTGATGATGACCAGCTCCACGGTTTGGTGGGCTTCGCCGGCCGGGTTGGACGAGATGCAGGTAAAGGAGCCCGTGTCTTTCACCGTGCTGATGAGGATGTCCAGAGTCCCGTTGCTGTAAACCAAGGTTCTGGAGGAGTTGGACACCAGTTTGCCTTCAGGAGAGATCCAGTGAATGGCTGGTTCTGGATCACCTCTTGCTTTACACCTTCAGTGATACAGAACCAGAGAAAATGGGCTCATTAGAAAGGAAGCAGAACGAGGCTGAGGAAGATCAAACATGAGCAATAAAAGGGAAACGTGTCAGATGAAACGACTTGATGGGTCTGAACAGCAAGATGAAAACAGGAAGTCTTTAAATAATAATCTATAAATCATCCCTAGTTGCATGAAGATAGTTTAGTAAATATTTCCCTTCTATCAGGATGTGATAATTGCAAATAGACCAGTTTCAAAGAAACCAAATCTGGAGTCAGTACAGGCTACAATCCAAGCCAACGTCTAGACAGAAGATTGTAGAAACTGCAGGTTTTGATCAGGTTTCTGACAGCAGCTCTTCACGGGTCCAGAGTTGGTACCTGAGAGCGACTCTCTGTCCCTCCAGGACTCTCATCTCATGGGAGAATCTGGTGATGAGCGGCGGCTCACAGAGGAACTCCTCCTCAGAGATGGACCAGAAGTATCGGCCAGCCAGGTGCTCGGGTGTGGCGCAGGTCTCCAGGTCGTCCTCCCTCTTCAGCCTCCGCAGCCACAGCAGCTCACAGTTACAGTGGAGAGGATTTCCTCCAAACGACAGCGCGAACGACGAGGGAGTCATCTCCCCTGATGTGGCGAGGACCTGGAAGATTTAAAGCAACATTCCTCTGACGATGTTCAGCCTCTTCTGAACGTTTTGAATCCTGTTTTAGAAACACAGCCTGGTCGGCTCTGACGTACCTGCGCCCGCTGAAACAGGGGGTCTGGTGGGAGTTTCTGCAGCTTGTTGGACGTGACGTCCAGCCGGTTGAGTTTCTGCAGAAGGGAAAAGGTTCCTTCTGGAATGTAATCCAGCATGTTGTGGTCTAAGCTCAGCGTATGAAGGCTTGTCATTCTCTGCATGAAGAAGAGAAAAATACAGATTTTTACATTTCTGTTGCTTTCACTGGAGATGTTTCATTGTTGTTCAGTATGAAATATTAGTGATGGAGAAAGGTGGAGAAATGAAACCTTTTTATTCATGTTATCCCCAGTTTTCATTGTAAAAGTGCCATTTTTTAAATAGAATCTAAAATATTAAACAGTGTTTCATTTATCCATAATTGACTGTGATCTTTTAGTGCAGCGCCGACCTGAATGGCCTCCCAGGGAATAGAGTCCAGGTTGTTGTAGCTCAGGTCCAGCTCCTCCAGCGCCAGCAGGTCGTTGAACGCTCCCTGATGGATCAGCACCAGCTGGTTGTTGTTGAGGATCAGGTGGTGAAGCTTTGACATCCCGCTGAACGTGTCGTTGCCTATCCTCGTCAGCCGGTTGCTGCAACACAGAAACAACGGAGCTGGAATAATCCGAGCATTCCACCGCCAGCCAGCGCTCTCCAGCGCTCGTTGTTGGCGTCTTACCTGTTGAGGTGTAGCGCTCGGAGATTTTCTAAATCTGAAAAGGCATGAGGTGTGATGTATGAGATGGTGTTTCTGGATAATGTCAGGTCCACCAGCCGCGTCATGTTTGCAAAGTCTTTCCTTTTCACGCTGTTGACACAAAGCAGTTGAGAGTAGTTAAACATCAGACCTCATGGATGGAGCTGCTTTACCAAACTTCCCCCATTAAACCATCTGTCTGCTGAATGTTTAGCTCCAACAATGAGGTTCAAATGCACAGAAACTTAAAGCAGGGAAGCGTGGGAACCTCGTTCATACATAAGAGGTTTCACACGTCTTATCCTTCACAGCTCATTCAAAAATCTGCAAGCGTGACGTTTTCTCTGTGGTTCTCTGCCATCTGGAGACGCTTTGAGCTGCTCCAGTGACTGTGAACCAACCACGAGTTCCTCCAGGGCCTGGAAGAGCCTCTTCTACCCAAACGGGTTCATTTGCATCCTGTGGCAGCTGAGTTTGTTCCCATGATCAAGCGATCTCTGGCTTCTACTCCAATATTGATTTATATTCACCAGAAGATTTTGGCGCTGTTGCCTCGTGATGCTGTAGATTAATGTCTCTGTGCCCAGTTTTGTTTCTCCTCACACTAAAGGACTCAATTTGTCTTCCATTTGTCAGTGTTACGGGGATTACTCATACTAGTGCTGCTCGCTGAATATATGATCAGAGGACAGAAACTCTCTCTCTGATCGGCAGACATGCAGGGCAAACGAAGGAGCCACTGTGGTTTGGATTCACGTGTTAGAATGGTCCAGTCAAAGTCCAGACATACAATTCAAGCCTTAAAACTTCAGTCTGAGATTCAGCTCCATCCAAAGACACTGGAAGAAATGTGAGTCAGAAGAGAAGCAGATCGATTTGGTGGGAAAACGTTTCGACTTTGGATAAAAATGTATTGTTTTTATTAATAAAGACCATAAACAGTGGAACCCCATCACCCGACATCTTTAGAGGTGAAACACTGGAGATGTAAGAAGCAACTTGGTGACATGTGAGGGTTGAAGATGGAGGTTTCTGTGTTGGAGAAGTATTTCAGAGAGTTTGCTTCACACGGTGCCACCTGCAGGGTCCTGGTTCCTGACTGAAGGACCCTGCTGCACTCAGACTCATCTCTCACGCAGCATCACCTTGTTACGAAGTTGTCGGCCAGCCGCAGCTCCACCGTGTGCCTGTCGATGTTTGGCGGCACAAACAGCAGACCCTTCTTCGCGCAGAGCGTCGCCAGGTTCGGAGACAGGATCTGGCAGACGCAGCGCTTCGGACAGATCTGCGCCCGCACCGTCATGGAAACCGCCAGGATCACGCAGAGCAACAGCCTCTCCATGGTCAGCATCCTCACCTGGTCGGACACCTGGACACCTGGACAGGTGGACAGAACACAGGTTCACAGAATTTCACCAAAGTGAACATCTTGCAGCCATTAACCATCTCTGACATCAGATTTAGTTTGTGCCACTCTCAACCTCACCAAGGTCTGGGCTTTGACTAGGCCAGGGATGGTGAACAGGTGTTCATCCATCCTGCCTGGCGGTTAAACCCACATTGATGCCACGTTTAGTCAGAACTCCAGGCCTCCACGATTCCCTGGAAGGTTTTCAGCGTCTTGTGAAAAACTTCCAGGGTGATGAACCTGGGCATGTTGGGAGTTGCTTCTCTTTGAATCCTGCTGCAGGTTCTCTGGTGAAATCAGATGTGCATGATGGGAGCAGCATGGAGGGAACAAACTGCTGCTTTAAGGACATTTCTGAAAACTAACGAGTTGACTGAGATCAGAGCATAAATCCCACATCAGCATAAAGTTCATTACCAATGAAATTCTTTCTTTGGTGGAAATACTTGAAGCTAATTAGTGAACAGTTATTTATAAATAAAAACACTGAAGGACATGAGAAAATAAAGAAAATCCAAGATCCCACAGATCGATGAACCAAATGAGAACAGAACGCTGTCTGACTGACTTCAGTCCAACCTCCTTTAAAAATGAGTCGGAATATTAAATTCATTCAAAACAGCCCAGAGGAGTTAAGAAACTCTGAAAAACTGCATTTATTTACGGTAGAACTGAAGATTAATGTTGTGAATTAGGATTAAATATAAAACTTCCATAAAACTGTTTATTCCAAACTGGAGATTAAAAATGTGGGCCTGTAATAAAACGATCAGCATTAATTTGGCCTGACATTAAACGGAGAATAATTTCCTCCAAAATCTGTTGGTTCAGCGCCGTGATGATCCATGAAACAGGATTTAAAGTGAAAATAAACCAATCGGTCGGCGAGAAACCATCATTTTTATGTCTGTTGTTTGCATGAATTATTGAATCAAGATGGAAGCAAATAAAAAGCTGAAGCTCTCGTCACTGAGCTGCAGCTCCTCTATTAAACCTGAATTTGTGATTCTTCTTTTGTCTGAAAGATTTATCACATCTCATTATTAAATGAATACCTCTTGCTCTTTCTGTGCTTTTCATTTCTTTATATAATGACTGAACTAAAAGCGGCTGCCCTGTTGGAGGTCGTACCTCTCCGTTTCAGGAGGAGTCATGGGGACCGTTCATTCAGTGACCCCTGAGTGACCCCTGGCTCTCCCAAGCAGATATCGGCTCATTAATTACTGAGAAATGAGTCCGATGAGCGTCAGCGAGAGTGGGAGACAGAAATGGGGAGGAAATGAGAGAGAGATATCAGAGATCAGAGAGAGGATAATTAAAATGAGTGCTGAGGTGTGAAAGGGAAACAGGGGTGGGAGGGGCAGGGTCCATGAACGGATCCAGAACCCAGGATGCTAGTAAAGTTAGCATCCTGGCAGAACCAGCTGTAACTGGCAGTAACTCAGGTTACTCTGAGTGACTTTCAGCCCTGCTGGGATCAGATGTGACGGTGAATTAACCAAAGGGATTATGGGTAAGGAAGACAAATTAAGCTGTTTGTAGTGGTGTGAAAAATGTGATTCTGTTTCACGAGGGACGAGTCGCTTTATACGTTTCTTTGAAGGCTGTCCACCAGAAATCCCAACCCTACACACACACACACACACACACACACACACCCACACACACACACACACACACACACACACACACACACACACACACACACACACACACACACACACACACACACACAGAAAGCTGTTTCACCCCTGGCTTGCACACTGATGAAGGACGAGCTCTGATGGATTCGCCACACAGTCTGCGTATTGAAACTGATCTGAGATGCGTTCAGGTCTCCCTGGGAAACCGGCGGTTCGACGTGACGCTTGGAGCAAGTCGCTCTGTCCCTCTTTTGAAGCTGCAGCCGCCACTGAAGCACTTTGTTCACTTTTCCTGCCCCTGATGTCTCTTAAGACACAGAGCTTCCAGTGAGACGCTTTGATTTATTAAACAGCTAAATGCAGGATTTTCCTGCTGCAGTCGTGGATTTTTCCCTTGACGACACTTTTGAGTTTAGTTTTGGATAAAAAAATATTGTCCAATAGTTGGACTGAAGGGCACAAAATATCAATTTTTCTTTTTTGATTTTAGGTGCAGCTTCTCTGCAAAGGAGGAGTCAGTTTGAAATAACCAGGTGCAATGCTGCTCTGCATTCTCATTGGCTGATGTTTGATGATCAGCCAATCCTGGAGCAGCATTCATTTTCCTCAACTGATTAGATTAGTTATTAGATATAAGCTTCTAAAATGGTTTCCGGTGAGAATACCTTCTGTTTCACGCACGCTGCCGCCACGCACATTGGCGCGATGGCAGCTTCTGTCTGTCCATCACAGTGAACCTCATGCATCAGCTAATGGGTTCATCCTCTCAAACAACAGGGGTCATCAGCTGCCTAAATACACCAGAATTAGTGCACTAATTAAATAAAGTCTGTGAAGCTGCTGCACTGAGCAACGCTAAACACACACACACACACACACACACACACACACACACACACACACACACACACACACACACCACACACACACACACACACACACACACACACACACACAGAAATGAAAGTGGATGAGAGAAACGGAGTCTCCAGTCGTGGCTCTGCAGTCGAAATGTTCAGACATTTCAAAATCAGTTTAACCACATCAAAGCATTTGAATTTACATGACATCTATTCCATCTTTAAAATGTTTGGTTAATTTAAACCAAAATACGGATATTAAAGGAAAGAGACATAATTCTACCAAAGGCTCCTCTGTCAGTTTCTGCTGCTTGTTGGATCTTCATCCAGGATTCTTGGGAAAAAGTTTTGGGCAAAACTTGTCAAATATTAATGTATTGATATTCTATTTTCCTCTGTATGTTTTTGTATATTTGCTGTATTTTTTATGTAAACATCTGTTAGCTCAAAGCTTCTCTTGCACCAACAAAAGTAGACTTTAAATCTTTTCATGCTACAAATAATTTTTTGCTTCCTTAAAGTTAAAGCCCAACAGATTTTGAAGCTTTACAGCTTTTGCCTGAATGTTCAAATATAAACTAAACTTTAGCCCAAAACATTAACCGGCTTGGTTAAGTATAACAGGAATCTGATGCACATTCAGTTCAATCAAACATTGCAGACTGAGGGAGGTCAGTCTGATCTGTAGCTCATCTTCCATCACGACTCCTGCTGGATTTATCCAGATTGGACTGAATCTGTTCCCAGCCACATCATTTACAGCAGAACCTGACCTGCAGGAACCTGAGCTGACGATGAAGGTCGGCCCGGTTGGAGCGGCGCGCCGGTGCCCGTAAAGCCTCCCTCCACTCTGAGACGACATGTTTGGTCCAAACACATTAAACATGCAGCATCTGGAGACACATGTACACCACTCCAGTATCGATTTCAGAGCAGGTTATGAATGCGCTCATCAGGGTTAGGAGAACGACTGCAAAGGGAGGAGAAACAGAAACCGGAGAAGGCCGGGGAGTAAGTGCCTGATTCATGGTTCTGGTCCACAGCATCACATCACAGCACCGTTCTTCAAAACACAACAGAGTGCATCCATCAGCGGCTATCAGATTATATAACCTCCAACAAACAATTTCTCTGCCGTAACGTTACTATCAGGGCCGGTCTGAGTGTTTACATGAGAGACGCTGAAGATGCTTGACTCAAGTTGTTTCTCTGCTTGTTTAAAAGCATGAAGGACATTTGAGGTGCAGATGGAGAGCAGAGCAGATTCATTCAAAATGGAGCCATTTCACTTGATTTATGCTGTAAATGTAACCTGGAAGCTCAGAGGAGTTTTCAGATTGAATAGATTCCAAAACCCTGCAACAAAAAACTAAACGCTACTTATGTTCCTCAGTATTTCCTCCTGGTTTATTCATCTGCATTCAGCTACATTCACTCCTCTGTCTCTGAAAACACACACTTCTATGTATCGATCTATAGATCTATGGAGATCTACAGATCAGTTTGACCCCATATCACAACCATCACTTCCTGCTTTGTGTTTTACCTGTAAGGAAAACATTTTACTACCATTTACTGCTGCATCATTTTTAATACAGAAATATTGGCTCAGGAAGCTTTTAGGATGTTATTCCTGAAGCTACTTTTAATCTAACTTTACTGAATACATGACAGATTTCTGCTGTGATCAGGATGTGACCTCATAGAAAGCTAATGTCCTTACAGACATCAAAGGATAGAAAAGAGAATATTATTTTGGTGTGAAGCCATTTTGATCCAACATGGTGGATCTCACTACATCACCAAAATATCACAGACTTTGACCCAAACAGAAAAGCAGAACTTTTCATTTCAAGCCGTTTCAAAAAGCAGAACCATCGACCAGTAGGGGGCGTAGCCTGACGCTGACCCCGTGACCCCCACAGATCCTCCTGCTGATCTGCAGATAAATCCAGACAGAAAGCAGCATGGCTGATCCTCAATGGGTCAAAGGTCACACACTCCAAATGGTCCACAGGAGGCTTTGATGCCAAGTACTGAGTGCAGATGGAAATGAGTCAAATTATATTTAGTGAAAACATAAAGAGACAAACTTGGATGTGTTCAGATAAAAAGCATGTTTAGGAAACTGTCTCATTATTCAGAAATAATGTCTGGACTTTCAGTCTACAATCAATCACGTGGCTAAATTATTGAATAAATACTTTTGTGAGCTGAACAACAAAGATATTTATATTATTAATCTATTAATCTGAGCAAAGCTTCAGGAGCCTCCATAGAAATCTGGAGGCTAACGTTAGCGTTAGCTGAATCAGAATGTGAACTAGAAATTATTATTGGTCAAACAAATGCAGAAAACAATGAAAACAACTGACAGAATAAAGTCGCAGATAAAATGGCAGAAAATGTTGTGGTTGTTGTAATGAGCTCTCCTGGGTTTCACAGAGCTTTTAATTAAGCTCCACC